CCAGTGTAGCTGAAGTTGTTGACCAAAATACCTGCACGGTTGATTTCACCTCGTTTGTTAATGTTGCGTAATTACTAGGTAATGAAATATCATCGCGTTATACCAAGCAAGAAGGTGATGTAGACGCATTGTTTTCCTTAATGTGCATTCAATGTTTTGGTGTTTGTGTGTACCTAAAGAATCAACAAACTCCTCAAATGTTTTTCACCAAAGACTGCTTTCCATGTAGTCGTCCAAGAAATAACCAGTGTAATGTTTTCGATATAAAGTTTACAATATAACCAGGAATATATAAAACACACGTTTTACGCAGTAGTAAGGATCTGCAGAATCATTAGCTGCTGAGAAAAAATCATTTTCTTCGCGGTTCCTATGTCACGGTTACAGAAGCATTTCGCCAAATATTTCGTACGCTTTTTTGCCAACTTATTTCCTTACGCCATTATCATGCATCCCTATTCAAGTGGGCAAATTTTTGGATGTAGCTGATTTCTTTTACAATAAGCTGGTTTCAAAATGCCACAATATATTTATTCGTGGACGTCAGGACGTCGACTAATCAAACCAGTAGTCAAGTAGTAAGCCTTACGAGTCCACTAATGAGGTAAGAAAAATGGCGTGAACGGGTGTGTTGGGCTTGTCGGATAAATGAAATAAGTCAGTTACGTCCCGATGGACCTCTCGATCTACTGACAATTCGTACTGGATAGCAAAAGTTTCGTCCGGAGAAAGGTAGAGAAGCCTTGAGCCACTGTTTTGCAAAATATAGCAATATTTCTGGTACGAATTTTAAGAAACACACACAGATCGCTGCTTTTCTTACCAACTGTTGATGAGGTGTACAAAAAGATGTTTCCGGCTTACTACCTCCTCATTTGTTTATTATCTCTGAGATCTGAAATCAGAGAAAGTATTGCTTTTGTTGACAAGCATGTGTCCCGCAATTCAGCTCCACAATTTAACGCAGCTGACCAAATTCGCTTGACTATATATCTTACGATGAATCTTGAGCGCATGCTTGTGTAATGCTGGAATGTTTGCAAGTTATCAATCGCACTAATTCGTTTCCGTTGAATGCCGTAAGACGTTCGTTTGAATGGTGTGGAGTAAGCTACGAACCTACGGGCCCAAATATAATGTAGTAACCGCGGAATCTAGCATATGTTAGCTTTCCTAATTAACCTTAGATTCAGTATTTCTATGCTCGTGACCAGGACCTACTAGATGTGTCTCATCCGTTCTCGGACATCGTAAGAAAAGCATCATGGAATTAGTGCACCGTGATGGCAAAATACAATCCAAATATATGCACGTTTCCTTGAGCAAGCAGATATTTCATGAGCGTCCACAGTAGCATACTAATCAGTATTTTGAAAGCATTAATTTCATAAATACATGAAACTTATCTGCTTATGGTGCCCTATATGTAAGAAGAATTCCGATCGATATTTGTAGTCAATTCAAGGTCACAATGTGATTTGCTAATTTGGAGTTTTATTTCCTTCGAAAAGAGTGAAGAAACACGGTGTAATCCAAGTACACTAAGTCAGCTGAATTAAAAATGCGCTCAGTGATCTACCAGGGGTAATTTTGCGCTTATTAGTACCCAATCCTTCGCTTTGCTTAAACCGAAATTTGTGTGCCCTCGAAAACAATCCTGGTTCTGTGATCAGAAGCCAACTCTGCGCTATGTTCTTTTGCTTTTTCAGAAGTTAACAACACACAACCGCCAACCTGTTGACTTCTTTTCAATCTGATGTGAACAAATGCACTCTCACTACACCGGAACCACTCATTATGTTATCGATTCCTTTGATGCTTCAATTCTCTTCCCACTTCTACCGTTTTGCAGTTTGACATATGCGTCGCGTTTGTAACAATGACATTTCAAATAGTGGCTCACAGTGGTTACATTGTAGTATCAGCGCCCTCACATTCTTGGAAGGTTGATGGGGGTGGAAGTCGGCGTAGAAAAATATTTCGCCCATTCGACTCATTATATTTGCACACCTCTCTCTATGAACTGTCCAAGGTTTACAGTGCAAAGCTGAACGTCCGAGTCTTTGTGTATGATTCCACTTTTATTTGTCACCTGAAAAGTGCCGCTTATTGGGACACCATTAGTGTGCGCATGTGTATGATTTGAAGTCATATTTGTTGGCTATTTTGAATGCCGGAACAATAGACGTTGCAGGTAGTATGCATTTAACGTTGCTAATTGCTTGTTAATGGTACATTTATCCAGTTCCATCTTTGTTGTTGATTTGATTCCGGTTGAAACGCGTTCGCTCAAAGCTTCCAAGCGCTTTGCCGCTCATACCACGTTTTCCCCTTTATGCGCGCTTGGTGCATAAAACTGGAAAGCCCGTCAGTATGGTTAATTCCCTGCGGACCGTCATACGTTTGAATGAGTTCAAAATGATGTATTTACTTGCCGGCGAATTCCCCCTTTCACGGCAATAGGATATGAAGGAACCTATACGCGATGTCTATGCTCTGCACCTCATAGAGCAGTAGAAACGCTTTGTGTTTGAGCCCGATGCGGAGCAGTACCAGATAGACGACAACCTTGACTGGGGGAAATGCACACGTTTATCCCACCCGAGTGTAAATCATATAATTCAACATCGGGATTTTCCATTTCATTTGGGCCCAATTTTCTAACTTAAGATGACTTCAATGTGAGCGTTTCCGGTTCCGGTAGCTGATATAAAATGTATGCTGGAATCAGCATGAGTAGGTACAATAAATTGATAGCACAAGATTCAAACAAACAAATACAAAACTTCTACCGTCATTTATTGTTTAACGGGCGGTAATTCCGGCGTGTATTCTGCCCACCGAAATTTCCTAATTTTCTACTTTACTTAACAGATGAGCGAAAGTAAATAAGGTTTATAGCCGTCATTTTATAATAGTAACGAGCGATATATAAGTTTACGTTAGAAAAGGATTTTCACCCTAGCATTTGATCGCTCAGACCATCGATTTCTACTTCAGAAGCTTCGGAACTACGGCATTGGCTACCTAATCCTGATTTGGATAAGCAATTTTCTACACGAACGTCGGTTGGAGATGAGAGTTCGGGAATCTCTGTTCGATGTAATTGATGTGGAATGTGGTGTACCACAAGGCGCAGTTCTCAGGCCTTGTCTATTATTGGTGTTCAATAACGATTTGGCGAGATCAATTGCTTCCGATTTCCTATTTGCTGCTGATGATATCAAGATATGGCGAAGGAGCAGTGGACCGGACGACCACGAACGGCTCCAATGCGATCTAAACACGGTATGGAACTGCCTACTTCAAAAGTCCCTACCATTCAATGCAGACAAATGTCGCGTTGTGCAATTGCGCCATGGACATGACTACACATAGTTGCTTGGGACATACCGATTGCAGACCAGCCCCCAAGAACGTGACCTTGGTGTGCTCGTACGGTGCGATCACAACTGTTAAATATAGGCTGAGTTAGCTGCGAAAACAGGCAACTAGCACATCAGCATGCTGCAAATGACAATCGGAAGATTTGACCCACCAATCTTCCAAATGATGCGCAGTTCCTACCTGCGCCCGCATGTTGAATACGCTATCCAAACTTGGCATCTTTGGTTGTAGCGCGACCTAGCGGCATTAGCGGCACCACAACAAAGCGCAACAAAGAAGGTAATGGGCTTGCGCTAACACTCGTACAAACGAAGGCCGGTTGCTGGGAATTTTCAGTGGACGCTATTGAAAGCTACGCGGCGATCGCATATTAGCCTATCAGATATTGAGTGACACCAACCACGTATGCCGCCATTTGCTGAAATTTAGCCACAAAACGCAACTCAGGGGTAACTGCTTGCAATTGAAGAAAAAATAAGCCGTCTAGATTATCGACAGCATTATTTCTCCCTTCGGGTTTGCCAACCCTGGAAGGCATTCTTAGACTCAGTTGTATCCTCCATGCTTTGGATAGTTTCAAAAAAGGATTGGATGTTGCTCTTAGCTCCCAACACTTCGATACTTAAATTACGTCATTTCGACTACGAACACCATGCCGTTCTACGGGATTTGTGTCATCTACACAAAAGAAGACGGCAAATAAGTGAGCGCCATAGTTATCTTTTCGCATGCGTTACATCTACGACTACTGCACCCTGTGTGTTTCTGCATGCTTACACTAGAATTTTATTTTACACTGACGTTATTTATCAGTGCATTCCTTTCGGTAGACGCTCAGTACAGGACTCACCTATATTTTGATTACATCGTAATCACCCCAAACTGCATACCGGATGTGTCAAGTATTTGATGATAAATGGTTGTTCATTTTTCATTGAACGAGTTTATTCGGCAAGTGAAAACTACCCAAAATGCAATTCGCATAGCTTCTTCCGCCAAGAGATCCCACGATGCTCCTTAGAACCCTAATTCTGGGATCTAAATCGGATACCGTATCATGGAGCGTAACGTGGTATCAAATTGCATACTCGAAAATGCCTATTGATTGCAAAACCAAGCTACCGCCTAATATGGCGCAACTCATCTTAATTTAATTTTGTTTATATAACAAACACATTTGTCGAAACCTAATGTCTACTTCCCACCAACTAGCCAGCAGCTCGCGAGTAAAGGATTACATGGTGCATTCAATCAATTGTCTTGCTTGGAATCATGGCTTAAAACCAAATTCACTTGTCATTAGAGTTAAATTAATAGTAGTTTATCGTGGTTCCCCAAGCTTCCCTCAAAGTGCAGGTTGCGGCTTGCAAAGGTTGAAAGCAAGTTATGTCATTTCGTCACACACTCCGCTCACATTGTACATCAGTCATACTGTACGGCCATACGGGGAGTTTCTATAGTTATACAGTACAAATAGTAACAATTTTCTTGCCTATAAAGGTAATTTAAGTAGTTAGTAATATGTTTAATTGAGTAGTGCTCTATGAGCAGTACGTGTACAAGCGTGCTCATCAAACTTCCATGCAAATGCACTGAATATGCGTCTAACTTACCGCATACATCACTTCTGTCCATCCTTCCATCGTGATGCATTGAAAGACCGTAAGCATTGCCAGGCCAATATTATCAAAACTGGTGATTCCGTAATTCGGACCTTCCCAGTATCCTTTGCATGTGTAATTCTCCGGACAGATAAACGCCCCAGGTTGTCCTCTTGGCGCGACGGAAGACGTGTTTTGCGGACTACACGGGGCGAGGTTGGGTCGATTGGGCAGGGTGGAAGGCAGCTGATTAGGGTTTCCTGTAAAAAGAGATTGTTCAAATTTTGGTTCTGTTTAACTTTGGCGGAACTAAAACTCGATGTAAACGCGGATTTAAAGTAGGCCTGATGTGGAGTGCATCCCTCGGACTTTTCACAATCATATACATATATTTATTGTTCAGTAATGTAAAAGATAAGATATCTGCAACTGCAGGCTCGTAAACAATATAGATTACAAAAGCAGCTAACATATTGTTTGCTAATATATTATGCTTTCAGAGAGACGCCTTGGTTGGCAGGGGAAGTTAAGCGGGATGAGAGGGACAGAGGGACTCACAACACGAACGCCACAGAGGTCTGTTCAATGCCATATCAACTGTGGATCCGACCAGACGTGCTTATCGTTTTTCGGGCCATAAGCAAGGAGCCGACAGTCTAACATCGTGGCCATATTTGAACTACAGGCGTTCATTCCTTTTGACCAAGTCATCGTTTGCCCTCCACACCACTTGTTCCTTCCACACCCCCGGCTCCCAAAGCATACACGTCGTGGGGGTCGGTGTACGGACACAAGCAACACAAGGCCAAGATATCAGAGCCTGGTGCGTGAACTGATGATCCTGAGAGGTTTACTTGCTCTTCTTGCAACGAATGCACCAAGACGAACACGCTCACTTCTCACGCGGTGCTCCCACCAGATGTGAGCAAGTTGCGAATGAAGCGATGATCGAATGTAACTAGCCTCTTTAGGTCTGCTGACTTGATGGGCCAGATTTCCCAACCGTATAGGAGGGTTGAATGGACGGCTGCATTGTAACCTCAGCTTTTCAGAGTGAGAGTGAGCTCGCGTCGATGCCGTAAGTGGTGGCGATTAGCAAAAGTACCGCGAACATTGCCCTGTGGTTTATGACATCATCTTCCATTCCACTTGCGCTGATATAGCTGCCTAGATACTTATATTACTCGACGCTTTATAGTTGATCACGAGAAACTTGACTACGGTGATTAGCCGAAATATCTAGGGGTAATTAAACAACCACGCAATGTGAAGGTGTGATCAATAGAGCCACGATTTCGAGGAGACGCGACTTGCTCCTCATGATTCTGGCTTTCACGGGTGCCAATTATCCAATGAAAAACAGCAGAAGCGAGTATCTTAGAGGCAGCTGAGTTCAGACTGATCCTGCTATGACTAGCGCCTTCTGAACTATCTTGGAATGACTTCAGTCTCCTGGGACAGTGTCCTTCTCCCACAGCTCCACAAGTAAATTGTGCGGATCATCTACAAGAGCAGGTCCCTCCAATTTAAAGTGAGCTAAAGGCAGTTTATCTGCTCCTGCTGCCTGATTCCATTTGAGCAGTCTGATATCACGTTCCACTTATGCGCGTGAACACGGGTCTAGGGAGACGGCCTAGGGATAAGGGCGATCATTTTCATATGGGAAAGCTGTGGGTCATTTTGAACTACACGTTGTGTGGATAGATTGCGACGCGCAATCTCAATGTTGCTCACGATTCCCATTGAAGTGAACCTTGGTTTTTCGACCACGAGGAACGTAGCTGATGCAAATAGAAATTAGTTGTTGGCCGACCGAAAACACTGCACTACTATGACACGTTTCGATGTGATTACATCCCATCAGATGGAGTTAGCAGGCATGGAACTCGGGACCATTGGGATGTTAATCGGGACCGCTACCCCTAAGCCACCGGGTCACGGAAAAAGCTTGGCATAACGGTATAATGAACGATGTTGAGGGTGATTTTTGAACTACACTTCCCGCGTACGATGCCTGCTAACTCTATCTGAGGAGATGCAGTAACATCTAAAAGCGTCATAGTAGTGCAGTGTTTTCGGGCGGGCAACACCCAGTTTCTATTTGCTTCAGCTACGGTCCTCGTGATCACAAGACCAAAGTTCACTTCAATGGGAATCGCAGTCAACATTACGATTGCGAGTCGCAATCCATCCACACAACATGTAGTTCAAAATGACTCTCAACATCGTTCATTAAACCGTTGTGCCAAGCGTTACCCGTCGTGACCCGATGACTTAGGAGTTGCGTTCACACCCAACATCACAATGATCCCGGGTACGTGCCTGCCAACTCTATCTGCTGAATTGTGATAACATCGAAACTCGTCATAGTAGTGCAGTGTTTTCGGGCGGGCAACATCCAATTTCTATTAGGTTGAGAAGATGTTTTTCGTGATGTTCTTCCCAATGCTCCAACATCTTGACAAACTGTGGTTTTGCCGCGCAAGCTCATCACGTACCGTCCCGCAACACCAAGTCTCCTTCTACCTGTTTGTCGTATCAGATAGAATAAGTTCAATGGTTATCAAAGGCAGTTGCTGTTTTCATCTCCGAAGCACGATGAGAGCATCAGACTTCCCAATCTCTGTCCAGGCTGACACGCCGTTTTACCCTGAGCTCTCTGCGAGTCTCGTTGTGTTCGTTTCCAGCCGGGATATGTCGGCGAAAATCCAAATCTACCAGAGACTGCGTAGAGATCCACTGTCCACATTGGCATTTTGATTTGCCCCCTGAAGATATGCCTGCTGCTAATAACTTTTAGCGGACATGCGACTAGTGATCTTCAAATGCGTTCAGTGAGCTCTTACTCAGGTTGGATTCCATCGTACTTTGATACGCATTCAGAACATCTGACTTCGCCATCTGGCAACAATGTATGCGGTCACGTTGTCCCGGCATGCACCTACCGAAACGTGCTGTAAGTTCTACAGGAACGAGTTTTGGTCAGATTCCACGCACTGGTTCCAAAAAGTGCGACCGTTTGGAACACATCCTCTCCATTGGCAATTGATCACGAAGTGATCGATTTGCGTCAGTCGTTGAGCCAGGACTGGTAGACTCCATGTCACCCTCCGGCGGGTGCTGCGTCGAAAGATTGTGCTCACGAAATGCATACGAGTATACTCACACTTGTTTAAAAACCACTCACCGTTGTCATTACAGGAGCTTACATTGTGTTGGCCGCCCAAATACAACAGGATACAGCGAACAGAGTAAAATATTTAACTGAGCGAGGCAAATTCAATGAGCGGTTGACTTACTGCCTGATTTCTTGCTACTACTGGCTGCCATTTAGAGGGTGTTTGCCAGTTTTGCTTCAGAAATATGTGGTAAATATTATCGCCAGCAACAAGGCCTCGAAATCGAGTGCCATTGTAACATACTGAGTTATCCCGACATTGCTTGAATATTTTTATGTTTGTAGAAGGTTATGAAAGTATTGCCAGGATTATTCAATAAGGGTAAGGCCGCGAAGCGGTGAAAACCTGTCGAAATCGGCTCGAGATGCCAGGTACCCATGCTCCAATTTGCTGCATTGTAATACCTTGCTTTCGTAGACTCAAAATGAGTACCTACAGCTTAATAACCGTTTAAGTTAAAGGGTAGCAACGTCCAGGATGTTCTGAAGAGGACCTGAGACATAGTGTGCATACAGCCTGGTCATACCTTTGCTTTTCTAAAACCACCGTTCCTCGTCATTCATACTAATGCGGGATGGCCCCTGGTTTCCGAAAATTGAATAATCATCCTTCAACTGTGCATAAAACACATGCTTGACTTGACTGACTGACTGAAACTAGCACCACGCGAACTGACTGATAAACAGCTTTTGAAATGTGTTATCACACTCTCTTTGCTCACACCGTCAAGGATGACTGAACAATGTTGTTACTGGAGACAAGATTCGGTTGATACATGTCAAACATAGCAAGAAACACCAGTTGATCTCACAATTAGAATGCCAGTAAATGTCCCGAAAAACGAAATGTACTGAAAAGTGCTGCCCTCTTTCAGGTTGGGTTGCCATGGTGTCCTTTATTGGGAACAGCTGTCCTATAATCCCACGTTTACTGTCGATGTTAATTGCAATCAGCTGCAAAAGATGGATGACGGAAGTAAAAAAAATAATGTCCAAGTGGGATCCGAAATTCTCTGCTGCATGAAATGGCAGTCCCTAGGTGACCAAGATTGAGTGTCTCAAGTTATACCATGCATACCTCAAACAGTTTGGATGTCATCCCTACGTACTATCGACTTATCCACATAAAAGACAAAAGGTTCGGTAACCACGAACACATGGAAACGTACCTTCTCCAATAATTTTACAGCATCCGTAGCTCGTTTTAGCAGTGAGCCAGTGACAGCCTACCTGAGTGATGGCAGTACATTCGTGATAACAACTGAGGTTCTACTAATCAACTATTGTTTCTTCCTTACAATACAAATTGTTGGGAAAATTGGCTCAAAATATCATTAGTGTTCGGGGCAACCGGAAAGGTGTGTATAGGAATGACGAGCACTGTAAATGTAACAGTGGTTTTCACTGGGTGATCCAACTCAGTGTAGATGTGTTTTTAGCTGCAGAAACCCTAGACTATTTCTTGTCTTTGACCATAAAATTTCTTCCTCTCGGCATTGATTCAGCTTGCGAACAGCCCTACAATACGACAACGATTTCTCATTAATTGATGTGTGTAAAGCATAAGTGAGTGAGGTAGGGAAGCGCTTACGATTGATGTAAGCAACGTGAACTTACTGGAATCGAAACAAGTCATGTGGAAAGCACCAGAGTAGAATTCGAGACCGATGATGGCGAATATAGTGATGGCGAACAAGACAAGCAGGCTGATTTGCAGCAGTGGAGCCATTGCACGCAATATAGATTTGAGCACAATCTGTAGACCTGTGTTAAGGGGAAGCGGAAACACACAAATGGTACTGAAAACTGAACGCGCTCAGGTGGCTGCTTCCATAATTTCGTTGCAATAAGTCGTCTTTCGATATCCGATTACACATTGGGTTGGCGTATGTCAGTACATCGGCCTGCAACTTAGAGCCTCATCTCGAAGAAACAGCGTGTAATTTTAACAAGGATTGAAGAGCGTAGGCCCAGCTTTTTGTGAAAGAAATAAAAGAATACTCGCAGCACCATGTCAGTTGATCTGGGCTGGTTTTAGCATTTATTCATAGTAGACAGCCAAATTTCTGCAATGTGCACACGCAACGTTTAACCACCTTTCTGATTGCGCTTCTTCTGCTCGAGATGCCAGTTTAAAAAATAGCATTATAAACGTTTTGGGCAGCATGGTATCACATAAGATTATTTAGCTATGTGTATCAGTTTGGTTCTCCTTGCTAGAATGATATTAATAGCAGTCCTTAAAAGTATTGCCTCTGGATCTAAGCCCAGCGATACTAACCTTCCCCGAAAGGAGGAAACGAGAGCCTAGCGCATTTTGCCTAATCTAACTGAGCCCAGTAGTCAGGTATTGGACCCAGCCTCACAACCTTTTTCCCAACATCGCAATACTGTACACACTGTTATTTCTTTATGGAATTAATCAGATGTCTAGTAGCAGGATAGCGATTATCGCTACGAGTACTTATCTGTCGCCAAGCTAAGTCAATACAGGAAGTTTAAGCGATGTGCCGTTGCGCTTCTTTCCTTATTGTGTTTATGTTCACGTGCCGTGAATCGCTTCATGTTAGATTGATTCCACAGTTACAGATTAATCAGTCGTACCACAAATCATCATTTTATATAATACACAACTACTCAGCAGCAGGACTAATAACAAAAGCAAATGTGACAACCGGGGTGTACTCACTTTCAAATCCCGTCACCAGCTTCAGTGGTCTGAGGACACGTAAGGCCCGAACTGCAGGTTGGTTAAGATTCGGCAGTATGTACGCCAGCAGACTGCAAAACAAGATGATTGCAACAAGGTAAACAGCGATCAAATAATCGCCACACTCAGTTGCAATAGTTCGCAATCTGGAATACACAAACGTTGATAAAAATTAGGATAGTCCGATGTCAGCAAAGTAACTTGCCTACCGAATACACGTGGTACAAACTGTATGTCTGCTGACAGCAGTGGAACAGTTCAACAGAATACAGAGTAGCGGTGAAGTGAACTACCCATTCCGGCTTCCATTCTTGGTATTTGATCGGAAAAAGTTACCCCTGGAAACACATTTTGAATCATGAGACACATTTACTTTGAATGTGCAATCAACAGTCAAGCGTCACTTTGGTCGCTGCTTTTGCAGAGATGAGATTTAAAATCCCACAACCTCAACTCGACTGACCTAATCCCACCATCCTTAAGGTGTTGATGTAATCGTCTTTGGTAAATATCACTGAAACTATCTTGACTCAGTTTCCATGGCAGCTCACCTGAAATTGGTCTCACAGCTGAATGTTAAATCCTCCACCCTGTCGTTCTGGTTACATGGTAGCGTGCTGTTAAGATCGCGCCTAATCGAGGACAGTGTAACATATGGTTAGAGGTATCCGGGTTCGGATTTATCTGTCACTGGGGCCAGCCACAGGACTCCTAAGCCTACAGAGGGACCATGGGTGGCTTACGTTGCACCACGCACAGCTCCAACCACACACCCTATATCCAGTGTAAAACCGAAGGAGTAAGGCCGAAAGGCATGCGGATGGGAGCCACGTTACATCAACTGAGACGGCCCACACTCCTTCATAGGCAAACACAAGCACGCTATATTTGGGAATCAAGCACACATAAGGCGGTGGTTGAACCGTAGTCCGCTCCACACTGAGTGCATGGAACCACCCGTCGAGCCTAACAAGGTCACAATGCCGTGCACCCCGTCCCCTCCAGCAACGACCAATTTCCTCCTGGAGCCATTGTAGAGGAGGTAGTGGCTATCAAGCCGGTAAGCACCTTGTCAACCTGCACATCAAGCGCAGCCACCCGGCTGAGAGAAAGCAACAGCTAATCGTTTAAGAGACTACAATAACAACTAAAAAATACATCTATTAGTGCATACAGATATGTTGGCATTTTACTTCAGTAAAAGAGCTTATGAAATAAACTGCTTGCCAGCAAATCCGCGATAGGTTGAAATCATCAGATAATTTATTGTAAGCAAATGCCGCAAGCGCGAAGATGTTATCGAAGTTAAGTACAATTAGCTTAAGCGACGTGTGCAAGTTAATGGAAGATTGTTCAGACAGATATTAGTATGAGATAAGGAGGCATTAGGATAATATAGCAAACCCAACACCTAAGTAAAGAGATTTAGCATGCAAGCACGTGGTTACCTAATCGAATGCAGCGTAGTTACAAACACTACGCCTGCGCTGTTTACGTTCTCTGGATTACACTTCCTCGTTTTGTTGTTGGCCCAGAATGGACTCGCTCATGGCTCACCAGGCCTGCCTGAAATAGGTACTCGCGACCGCATGTGCTGCACCACCATGCGCTCGAGGTCGAGGGAGTACAACCCATCGGTGCTTACCGCTTTCGCACTTGCCGCTACTTTCCTGCATGCATGAGAGCTTTCTCCTGCACCTTGGAAACCTCCTTCGTGATAAGATTGCGTCATGCACGCCGATCAACCGCCTTCGATTCTCATGACCTGTCATCAAGGTTAGAAAGTGATTGGCTCAATTTGATCATGACCTGATAAGAAAACTTCGACTTCCCCACATGCCACTTCCCAACCCTCAGCTGCCCATATGATAGCTGATTCGGTATCCGCGTTGAACCCATACGCCACACATGACAGAGCCACTTCAGGTGTCACAGCAAAAGTCTGCAGCCCAAGGTGTACATTAAACTTTGGCATAACACTTCCGTGTCCGCAATTCTGTCGCCCCATCCGGTGCGCAGAATCCGTCGCAAACACTGTTGATGGAACCGCTCGAGATATCACACATCCCGCCGGTACACCGTCCATGTTTCGCTGCCGTATAGAAGAACGGACAGCAACATGGATTTGTACTCCATCCGCTTTGTGTCGACAATAAGCTGTTGGTTGTTCCACACTCGGTATTCTAGCTTCCCGAATGCCACCGTTGCCTTCGGTACGCGGACATGCCGCTCACTGTGAAGCTGCTGGTCAGTCGAAATTACACTCCCAAGGCAGCAGAAGCGGGGGGTAGTTTGCAATACTTTAACATCACATGCTGATTCGCGGCACCATTGTATATTGCACCTACGGTAAAGGCCGGAAGCGACAGACAGTTTTGCTTGTGTTGATGGTGAGCCCGAATTTGGCCGCTATCGAAGCCAGAGCCCTAGTCAAATGTAGCAGCTCATCTACGCTGTGTGCAAAGGACGCACGATCGTTAGTGAACCGCAACATATTTGTCTCACCGACTAGGCATCCCGCACCGAAACGATGGACGTTTGTAGACTTAGTAAAAAGTGAAATTTTGTACACCCCATGAACAGGAAGTTTGAAAGTAGTACTCACTAAAATGGTCAAAATTTGAGATTAATTGGGAGTCAGTGAAAAAGTAACGAGAATTCTGATAAAGAATTGAACACTGTGTTAAAAGCTTGGGTTTCATCCAGTTATTTGCCTCAGAGATGTAGCAAGCGGAAGCGAGGCAGGGGGTGACTGTTTGCGCGTTGTCAAACAGTAAGGCAAAATTTCCAGATAAGTTAAGGGTTGAATAGTTCGACGTTAATGTATGAAAAACAACACCTTTTTATCATATGTCACCTGTTCAACCGTTTTTCTTAGCGATGCCCCCAAACTTGCCCCATATGAGTGAAGAAAATCGCGCGATCTGTAACAAGGCTACATGCACTCCTAGACTTAGTGTTAGTCAACAAATTAATAACTTTCCCTGTTTGCACTAAGGTACCGATTGTAAGTTTAGTACATGCCCCCATAAAGTTATCTTCCATAATATATGGCAAAACAAATAACAAAAATATTATTCGCTGCAAGGATCGCAAGTTAACGCAAAGACAATATCTTCACGGAAACAGAGCTACTCCGCGCAACTGATGACCCTACCGATTTCAAAATATTTTACAAATGATGTATCGATGTATTGTGATCATATAAGCAGCTACTTGAAATATTGCTTTGCTATTGGTTGTCCTATGGAAACCATTTTCATTCGTGCAGATAGATTTGCATCTCAGTCCCTTAAAAGACCATGCGGTCGTAAAGAAAATGCTTGTAATCGCAATGATGCCGCTTCAGTCAAGTCCCTAACAACTGATATAAAAAATTGAAATGTGCCACCTCAAGCATATGTATGTCCAAACTATACTTGGAAGAATAACTGCTGAGAACGATGTAAATTGGTGAAGAACCTGAGTGACATCGTTGGCAGTTTAACACACATTGCTCTCGATGTGGAAAAAGCAAACCGCAACTTCTGTGGTCATATAAAGGAGTCAGCATTGCACTTAACTTCTTTACCGTTGGAACTCTTCCCACAAAATTTAACCACCCATCGATAGTGTTACCAGTTTTAAGAAATTAACACGCATACAGTGTTGGAATGTGCCCGGCTCGTAAGCACTATCTCCCATAGCCCTCAAGGAATGTGCTTTTGTTTTAGCAAAACCATGTCCCTACATCGACACAAGATAGCCGACTTCTGGCGAAGCGCCCGCATTACACCTGTACCATAAAAGTAACCTGGAAGTATTGGCTCATTGCTTGTACGTCCGTCTCTTTGAAGATATTTGAACGAAGCATACTCGAAAGAATGCTTGTCCAAACCCACTCAGGCGTTTCGTTTCAGTTCGCCTATTGCAGTCCAACGTCCAATTGGGATGCATTATACTTCCTTTTAACCTCCGTGCTTACAGCACTAGATATAAAAAACAAACGCACGTGGCTCTGCTTCCTGTACAACAGTGCTTTCGGTTGGGTAAACCGCGAGCTGCTGTCACACGATCTGTTAGCTTTCGGAGTTCAACTTTCATTAGTACATTTCTTACACACTAATTTGCCAATCGTATGCACTTTACAAGATTAGAGCAAAATGCTCTTCCACACTCACCAATATTCCGGTGTTATTCAAGGAGCTTTGTCCCCATTCCTATTTTTCACTTACATCAGCTCAATTCCCTTCTCCAAAAGAAGCCATCCTGCTGAAGTATGCTGGTGACGTAATTCTTGATGTGCACAATCACACAGCAGATTCATCGGCCAAATTGCAACGCTTCCTTGAAAAATTCACTACATGGTCCAAATCCCGCTGTCTGTCACTCAACGCATCAAAATGTAATGATGTTCCTTTTCCGCTGTCTAAGGAAAGTTGTTATCAAATGCTCCTGATGTACACCCCGTATCTTAGCATTGGCAGTATCGGTCTAAGAACCTGTATGGTAGTGAAATATCTCTTGCTTACATTACGTCGGGGTGTCAGGTGGTCACATAATCTGAAGGAAACATTTACTATAGTCAGGAGACTAAGTTTCAACGTCTCCTGACTGAGGTCTTCACCCGTGCCTCGTTACTTGATTTTATGGTTTGCTACCGCTTGTGTAATACCGCCCTGGACGTATTGTTCATTGATATTCTCTTGGTTCTTAAACGGGGAATTCAAAGTGATCAACAGGTCGCTGAAGCATCTGGGTCCATGCAGCAGAATTTCCAAGCTAGTGTTTATTGACATCATTGTAGCCAAGCCAGTTCGCTTCTGCGAAAAATTGGCGTTCAAAATGCTCACTGACGCCAATCACCCTGTACATTTTGCTTTTAATAATGTATCTAGAAGTCTTCGACAGACAAAAGTACAAATCCACTTATGCCCGCAAACGGGCTTACGGTACGTCACATTTTCTGATTGATCAAGATTTAGTCAAACAAGACTTTATTGCCAAACGAATCAATGATAGCACCGCTGCCATCTTGTTGCCGCTACATACACATTTGTTATATGGGGTGGCGATCGATAAGCGTATCTCT